TGTGTGTGTGTGTGTACAGGCATGCGTGTGCACGGCAGCATGGGGAGGAGAGATGAAGGAGGTACTGAAGGTGTACAGAGAGGGCGCTAATTTACCGCTTTACATGCAAGAGTTGAAGGTAAAGGTCTTTGTACCCTGGAACCGGGTCGAGGAGCTGGGAGGGGCATCCTGGCGCCAGGCAGGCACGTGGTCACTGGTGCCCACAGCCCAGGCTTCCAATCCTGGGTTTTCCAGGCTGTGTGGCCTTGGCACCTCACCGTGCTGTGGTTCCTCCTCTGTACAGCAGGGGGGCCTCTATCAGGGGCTTGAGAGAATGTTTGTGAAGTGGCTGTCAAAGCCTTGAGCCCCAGGGGACCCAGAAGGGGAGCTGAGTCTACAGCTGTTGATCTTACTGGTCCTGGCCTCAGCCCAGAATTTAGTTTCCTTGGAGATTCTCATTGTCGAGCAGAATGGAGACACTGGTCTCTCTGGAGGCTCAGAAAATGTCTTGGAGTTCTGGCAAAGGTACCCCCATCCTCCCTGCGAGGACCAGGACTGCCAGGCTGCCGGGTAGGGAGGAGACACAGGGGTGAAGGGTGCGGGGTCAGGGCTCCCTGGCCTCATCAGCCCTCTGTGGTGACAGCCAGCACAGGGACCTGAATCCGAGGGCTTCCTGCTGAGAGAGAGGAGCATGGCTCCCTGGAAGAATCCCCCTAACAAATACAGGGCAGAGGGGTGCAGAGTTGGAGCCAGGCACCTAGGACTGGTGGAGTGAGGTGCGGGGAGGGGATCTGCAGGGATCTGCTGTGCGTCACCCTGAGTCAGAAGAATACCCATCTCTGGGCTCTGCTTCCGACGTGTGAACAGGCCCCAGTCCAGCGGCATCTCATACCTCCCCTCCATCCTGGCAGTGCTCGGAGACCCCCAGGGGACTCGCTGCGCACCCCTGAACCACGTGCTGCAGAAGCACCTGGAATGCTGGAAAAGCGGGCTCCTGGATCTCTTTCCCTCTCCCCAGTCTGCCCTGCGGACCCAGAGTGTGGGCTCTCACCCTAGGGGGTTTGAGTGGGGAGCTGTGTCAGGGCGTCAGGGGCAGGAAGCATAAACGTCTTCCCCTGCATAGAGCCTGCTGGCAGAGGTTTCCCTGGTTCGTATCCCAGGCAGTAAATACACGGAGAGTCACTTTGGTGCTTGATGGATGGTCAGGGATGGGGGGCAGCAAGCTCTGCTTCCTGGAAGTCAAAGAAGAGGCAGTGCCCAAAGCTTCTGCAAACCCTGAGCTCTACCTCGCTGCACACAGGGCTCTAGGAACGGGACGGGGACTTGGTGCCGTTTTGTGTTGTTATAGCCACAGACAACCGGCCCTGCCTAACCACCCCCCGCGTCCCCAGAGGCTTCCTCACTGGGTGTGTATTAGTTTCCCAGAGCTGTCAGAACAAGGTGCCACTAACTGAGTGGCTTCAGCAATAGAAGCGTATTGTCTCAGTTCCGGAGGCTCGAAGTCCAAGATCAAGGTGCTGGCAAGGTCGGCTCCTCCTGAGGCCAGGGATGAGGGAGAATTTGTTTCAGGGCCCTCCCCTGGCTTCTGGGGTCTGCTGTCAGTCTTTGGTGCTCCTTGGCTTGTAGGAGCATCCCCCAGTCTGCTTGTAGGAGCATCCCCCAGTCTCTCTGCCTTACATCTCTGCATGGCCTTCTCTCTGTGCCTCTGTGGCCAAATTACCCCTTTTATAGGGACATCGGTCATGTTGGATTAGGGGCCCACCCAACTCCAGGCTGACCCCGTCCTTACTGATTATGTTTGCAACAGCCCCACTTCCAAATAAGGTCACATTCTGAGGTCCTGGGGGTTAGGACTTCAACATAGGAATTTCGGGGAGACAGTTCAACCCACGGCAGGTGATATAACAAAGGGTTATAACATAATGTACCACATTATGAATTCCTAAGCCCAATAATCCCTAAACTCGGGGCTCTTGGGTGAGAGCCATCCGGGGCAGGAGAAGGGAGTTCAGTCATCCGCCAAGTGCTTTTCCCTTTCCCTAAAGAGAGAAGAGACCCAGCACGGCAGGAACGTGTAGCATGCAGTGACCTTGCCCACACGGAGAATAAGACTGATCAGAACAATAATGCCCCTTTCCTGGAGGGGAGGGCACTCGGAGGGGCTGAGCAGAGCTAGACCTGATGTAAGATGGGCTGGAGGTCATCTGGAGGGGGCCACATGGTATCCCTGCCCAGATCTAGAATGAGAAAGAAGCAGTTGTGGCAATGTGGAAATCCCGGCCCCCGTGAAAAAATGGGGACCTGGAACTGGGAGAGCGAGGTGGACGCAAAGCCAGTCACAGCAGGTGCACAGGGTGGGGCAGGGGTCCATGTGCTCAGAGGTGCAGGAAGTGGGTCTGCCCGCCACCACCTCTGAGCACGGAAGGGGATGGCGAGGAGGCAGCCCGGCCCTGCAGCTCCACCAGAGCAGCATCCAGGCTGTGCGGATCCAGAGCATCTCTTTGCCTAGAGGCCCTGATGAAGGGCGCACGCTGGCTTTTCAGAGCAGGAGTCACTGTGTGGACCGTGGCCAGGGGCAAGTGATAAAGTCCCGGGCAGATGGAACCGTGGAGAAGGGGTTCTGGGGCTGGGGGAGATGTAGAACTCCCCTTGTCCCGTCTGCGGTGGAGGATCTGAGTCCCAGCACTCGGGCTGCAGTTGGTGGAACCAGGTTTCCAAGTAGGAGCCTCTGGCTCCCTGAGCCTGGATTTCCTGGTGTGTGAAATGGGAATAATTCCCACTCTACAGGATCATTGTAAGAGAAGAGACCGCGCACATCAAGTTCTTTGCCCAAAGGAGACACGCAACTAGCTGGGCATTATTATTACCTGACCTGGCAGAGAATTGAGACTTCACATAAAATCTCTGAGAAGCAAACGAAATAAATTTTATCTCTTAATTATCTAGCAGTGAAATTTTACATTGTCTCAAATCATTTTATTCTGCGAAATCTACAGAACCTGCAAATAATCATGTTGATCTTGCCGGGTGGTTTAATGATATTTGGCTCTTTTAATAAGTCCTCTCGGGAGAGCCAAGAACACTAAGACTGAATTTAGCGACATACAGGAGAGCAGACATTTTGGAAAAGCCATTTGGCATCACATAGCAACAATGTGTTGGCATTCAGCTATTTCATTGTTATTATTAGGTGTGAATTCTAAATTCAGGGTTTTTGTCCCCTTAAAGTCATCACTTCCCAAAATAGGTTTCTTAAAAGTGCAGCTTTCCCAAATGCTAACAGCTCCATTTCCCCATTCAGGCTAATGAGGGCATGAGCAGAAACGAGGCCACATTCTCCCCCAAGGTCAGAGAGCAAGGGTAGCCAGTGGTTCTGGAAACAGGAAGCCAAACAGGGGGGCTTCAGAATGGGTTCATTAAGGGTCTGTTCCAAAAAGGGGGACCCCTGGGTGGCTCAGTCGGTTAAGTGTCTGCCTTCGGCTCAGGTCATGATCCTGGGGTCCTGGGATCGAGCCCCGCTCAGCGGAGAGCCTGCTTCTCCCTCTGCCTGCCGTTCCCCTTGCTTGTGCTCTCTCTCTCTCTCTCTCTCTCTCTGGCAAATAAGTAAATAAAATCTTTTTTAGAAGGGGGGGTGGCATGGCAATGGAGGCTTGAACCCTACCAGCTTTCTCTTCCTTCCCTTCATGAGCTTGTCCTCACAGCCCTCAGCCCAAAGAAAGCCAAGGAAAAAACTCCGGTTGGCGGCACAGAGTGACGGCCCAAGCTCAGTCTGTTTTGCGGCCTCACCCGGGTGGCCCACCGCACTGAGAACGCCGCTGCCTGCCATCGTGCAGACAGCCCGGGCCCCGGGGGAAGACAGGTGCCGGATCCCAGTTAGAGCGCAGGAGCCCGACCTTCCTCTCTCACTCCCTGCAGTGTGACGCTGGGTGACCCCTTCTCCTATCCGGGCCTCAGGTTCCTCATCTGGCAGTGGGCAGGGAGAGGGAACTTGGGATTTCCAAGCTGTGGCCTTTTTGACCTTATGTCCATGCTGGATAAGGTCCAAATATGGCCACCGGTGCTGGACACACTTGAGAAAGAGTAAGTGGCTTGATTTGGGGGGAATTCCATTTACACAGAGGAAGGCTTTCACTTCCTCACAGCCTGGCGTTACCGCCATTTGAGTGGAGTTTTTCGATGGACACTGGGGGACTTTCAGAAAAATGCCCCTCTGAGACATGGGCTGTATCTCCCATGTATCATGAGGTCACTTGAGGGTCCCCTGACTGCTGCCGTGGCCAAGGGCCACCGGAATCGCAACCCTGGGAAGAGGCCTTTGTCACCTGTGGATTCGAGGGTCCCCTGACTGCTGCCGTGGCCAAGGGCCACCAGAATCGCAACCCTGGGAAGAGGCCTTTGTCACCTGTGGATTCTTCCTGATGCGGGATATACTTTGAGCTTTGCAAAATGGTTGCAAAATTATTCTCAGCCCTCCCTCCCAGGCAACCTTCTTAAAAGGGTGGCGCTGGATTTGAAGCAAAGAATCAGTCTCTTCTAGTTGTAGAGATAATCTTATTCAACCGCCTCCTTTTTCATATAAAACCGACAGGCCCAAGGAAGGGAAATGACTTGCCCAGGGTCACATAGCAGGACAGGAGCAGAGTTGGAGTCCCTGGCCAGGACACAATTAGCCACTAGCCTGTTTCTTAGGTAAGCCTGGGTTCCAGAGTCAGACAGACCTGGGTTCAAATCCTGCCTTTGTAGTTTGCTGGCCATGTGACCTTAGGCGAATTACTCAACCTCCTTGGACATGTATGGCCTCACACTCAAAATGGAGGTAGTCCCATCTCCCGGGGTTCCCCGAAGTCACACGTGTAAAGTGCATGGTTACTGCAGGAGCTGAAATGAACTAAGGGCCTGGTGGATGTCCACCGTCCATCCCTGTTACTGCTGTAAGTTGTAGTCCGGGAGGCAGTCCCAGAGAAGCTGAGGCTTGGCCAGGAGGCTGTGCTCTCGGTAACAGGCTCCCCGTGTCTCCGCAGGCTGGTGGAGCTGTCCTCCTCGGTGCCCATTGGCTCCCACTGGGGGGTGCTGTCCAAGTGCTTGGCCTACAGCAAGGCCGCGTCTGACCCCTTCGTGTACTCCTTACTGCGACACCAGTACCGCAAAAGCTGCAAAGAGATTCTGAACAGGATCCTCCACAGGCGCTCCCTCCACTCCTCGGGCCTCACGGGCGACTCCCACAGCCAGAACATTCTGCCGGTCTCTGAGTGAAGGACGCCGCTCTTGCTGGAGACTGAGGAATGAGACAGTTGGTGAGAAGCGGGGAGGGAGGGCTTGGGGTCCTGGGTGGACACCCCCAGCTGCCACCCACCTGTCCGGCCAGCGATTCCGGTTCCCTGGCTCGCAGGGGCCCTGAAGCCTGCTTCCTGGTTCCTCAAGGGCAGAGGTTAGACTGTGCCTATTTTGCACCAAAGGATGACCATGGTTACTCACTCTGGGCTCTTGTTTTGGAGAAGCTCCTTTGGGCTCCTGGACTCACCAGAGACTCCCCAGGAGTGACGCTGAGTCTGGTCTTGATCAAGGACAGGCAGTGCTGGTGGCAGGTGGGGAAGCATGGCATCCACCTGCTTCCTAACCACTAGGCGTTGGGCTCCATGCTGAAGAATAGTGGTGGTCTCCATGGGACATCGGTCATGCTGAAAGTGAGGTTGGCAGTGGCCATTCGGCCTTACGTCCAGGATGGCTACTCTTCTCCACGTGCTAGTGGTGGCTGCTTTAACCCAAATATTATCCAGCTGGGACTCACTGCATTGTGCTCAGCTGGGACTCGGGACCCTGAGCCCAAGGGGAAAATGTTTAACAACTAGCAGCTACCCCTTTGTTGCCGAGCGGTGGTCTTAGAGATGTTACATTGGATTAAACTCTGGTCCCCCACATCCCCGCAAAAGCTAACGTCTGTGTGTGTAGACAATCTTAGCATGAAAATGGTTTAAATAGGCAGGAAATACATGTGATAATGTTCTTGGACGTCTGACCTTGAACTCACCTTCTTCTGATTCACACGTCATAACTATTGGAGCCAAGGAGAGGTGGAAGGAAGGCGGCTGTCTGGTGCCCCCACCCCTAGGTGTGACCTGATTTTGTAGGAGGCTTTTCACCTTGTCTCACACATCTCGTCCGGCACATTCTGTGAGAGCCCCCCACAAAAACTGACCTGGGCAGGGTTTTAGCGTTGGTTCTAAGGCACTAGGTTCCAGGATCGCAGTGGCTCCACATCTAGTCTCCATGAGTCTATCAACAAGAAGTTGAGGCTATCCCAGGTGATCAAGAAAGTGCCCTGTGCCAGTGAAGGGAGAGTGACATTTTTATTGACAATGATAACTTCAATACCTATGCCAACCCATTAGCAGCCCCCATGTTGATTTATGGAAAGCCAAGGTGAGTGGGCTGAGCTTTCTGCCCATCCGTCTTTGTTTATCCTTTCGGATGACGTGTACATGCTAAGAGCAGTTATTTCTTGGTCCTCTGTTCTGATGCCTCTAGGCAGAGAGGATGGGGAGCCACAGACCCCGAGCGCTCACTCTCTCTTTCCAGCTCTGTGTGTCCTAACTTTGGAAGTACAGGGGGAAGGACATGGTCCAGCAGGGACCGACTGGGAAGAGTCGGACACTTTTTACTGCCAGGGGTCCCCAGTATGGAAAGACAGAGAAGTGTCATCACATCTCCTTGAAAAGATGTTGTCTGATTTACCTTAGCTCCCCATTTAGAAAACAGATAGCTGAGCCTAGCCTAGTCTTGCCTACTTTCAAGGTCTTCGTGGAGACCAGAACAGGGACAGATGTAGCTTCCCAGGCCTTGGCACCTGTCAGTTATAGTTGGAGGTGTGCTCACACCTGCCTGGAAGAGCCCGTGGGGCACGTTCCCCCACCCCACCCCCAGTTCCATGTTAGGAGACATCACGTTGGCAGCTTGAAATCAGCCATGATGGGAATATTTAGGCCAAGAAAATCAGCAAAGACTAAAACCAGGACTTTTGCTCCACCGAGAGCTGGTTGTTCAGCACCTAGCCGCGCACCACTGCCTGGACATGACGTTGTGTGTTCCCGAAAACTTGCTCTGATTCAGAGCGCATTCGTTTGAATCGAGTTTGAATCACAGCAGACATTCATTTTTGTAAACTTTCCTAGGGACAAGCAGCTGTTCACTCCCACCCTGCTTGTCCCAACACCAAAGGTACCGATGAGGTTCAAAATAAGTATGGAGCCAAGAAGATACACACAATTGAATCCGACAATCCCCCTTTTCACACAAATCTTCTCAAAATTGGGCAACAGAGGAGTAGTGACCTAGTAGATGATGCCAGTAGACAGTCAAGGTCAAGCAGCAAGATGTGTTTTCATCAATGTCGGGGAATGACTATGTCAAGTTCTCTTTCTGCTTGTTCTATGTAGGCAACCTATTATACTCCCAGATGCAACTAGATCTCTTTTACCTCTTCTTGCGCTAAAACAAAACAAAACAAAAGATCTGTCACCCACAACACCATGCATCTTAAAAAGATACATGTCATAATTTTTGCCAAGCCCATAGACTGCTAAAAAAAACCCACAATAAAACCAGTTGTATTGGCATCATGTAGACAAAAGTCCACATAAGTCAGCCGAGGGGGTGTTTTCACTATTGTTCAGACAGGCATTAAAAGCCAAGGAGAAGCAAGGAGAAAAACATGACATTAGCGGTCAGCACCAACCAACTCTGCTGTAATTACCTTTAGATGAATGTTGGTATTCATCTATGCCCAGTCTATAAAATTTTCCCCTGGCTTCCTTGTTCCCAGGTGAATTATCTACCTCATTTGGTAATTTAATTTATCAAACGTAACATGGGTTTCTCAGGTAAAACACTCAGAAACAGCAAGATCAGCGGGCCTGGGAATACTTACTTGACTTCAGTCTTGCCTGAGGCTCGATGTGTAAGGGCCAAACTCTGGGGACAGCTGGATCAGGTGGGGAGGCATTTTAGGAAGCTTGGAACTGAAGCCTGGCCTGGGTGGGGGGGGCATCCAATTCCTGCCCCCCCCCCACAGGGCTCTGTTTCTAGCCCTACATGATCAGAAATGTAGATTTAATTTGTTTAATTTAAAATGTAGATTTAAACCCGCCCTGGGTGGCTCTCTCAGTCACTTTGCAACTAGTCGATCTTTTTCTTGCACTTCTTCTAGAAGGAGAGGACGTTGGAGCCCTAGGACCCCCCCTAAGGGACTGCCAGCTCAGGTGAGGGTCATGGCATCTGGGGTTTGTGTGTCTCATGGTCAGCTGACCTCCCAAAGCTGTGCCGCTAAAAGCCAGCCTGTTTTTACTTAGAAAGCAGCTGGGTCCTGAGGGAAGTTGACTTGAGCCACCGGATACCATCAGTCCATGCCTTCTGGGATTCAGCTCAGTCTCCTGTCACCCTGAGCAATAAACCTCTCTCCTCGTGTTTCTGAAATTAGTTTTCTTTTCATGGTGCCTTTCTCTCTGAGAGAAGACAGGACAGACCGAGCCCACGTGGGGGCAGGTAGAGAATGCCTGGGGTGTGGCCTGTGGCCGTGCATTTCTAGAATTTAACCCAAATGCAGGATAACCCAGACGGCTTATGGTTTTAATGAGGATATTTTATTAGGTGCCAGAAGTTCCTTGCATCGGCTCCTTTCCTTTGGACCGTGAGCACCACGGGGAAGAGCGAGGTCCCAGATATATTTGCGGCTCCCGCTGCCTTCCTGGAAGGTCTAAAGCAACTGGAACAGCCTTTGGCTCTTGAACTTCATCATCCACAAGAATCACCAAGGGAGCTTGTTTAAAAATGCAGATTCCTGTACCCCATCCTTGGAGATTGGTCCAGGGAGGGATGGGCAGGACCTGGGATTCTGCATTTTCAGACATTCGTGCCCAGGTGACTGCTGCAGGGGGCTTCCCAGCTCTTCCCCGAGAAAGGGGATCTTGGACACCTGGATTAACTCCATGGAAAGCTGGACCTTTCTAAATATCTCTGTTTCGTCCTGTATCTTTCCCCGGATCTCCAGATAGTTCAATCTCCAGCCTCATTTAAGGGCTGAGTCATTTCGCTCTCAGAGCAACATAGCGCTCACTCTGTGAAATTCTAAAAACCCGTCTTCAGAGACTCGGGTGGAAAAGCTGCCCCCCCCTCCCCTCCAAAGGTATTTGCAAAGCAGCCTCATTCCATTCCGTGGGGCTCCCGGGTAGTAAGCGCGGGTGTCCGCAGGGTGTCGGCAGAGGATGGGGCCAGGACACTTTGTTAGAGAGCAGGAAGCTGGTGCTCAGAGGGTCCCACGGGGACACTTGCTTGGGTCTCGACCGCACCTCTGCCTAGGCAGCCTGGCTGTGGGCCGATGGCATCTGGCCCCTCTGCCGCTAACCACAGCTAGCCCAGCGCCCTTCCCACCCAGCCTCCCTCCCCGGCAGCAGAGCCAGGCCGAGGCCGGGCCAGAGGGAGACAGTGCCGGATGCCAGCCCCTGGGTGTGGGTCTGTGTTCGGTTCCCCACGTCATCCAGCAAGGCTGACCCGGCCAGGTCCCCCCGGGATCAGCTCCCTGTCATGACCGTGATCCAGAGTCCTAACAGCTCGTGTGCACTGAGTGAAGCCTACAAGCCAGCACTGGGCTGAGGGTTTTCGGGTCGTGTTTCCATGGGTCCTCACCGTGACCCCAGGACGTAGGTACTATCATCTCCTTTTCAGACCTCTAGGAAGATCTGTAAGTCCTGGGGCGGCAGTTAGAGACAGGTGAGGGGCAACGCAAACCAGGGCCACGGTCTCCAGAAGGGTAGGCTCGTGCCAATGGGGAGTCCCCAGCGGCACCCAACTCGAGGCAGCTGGAGGCACAGCGGGTGTCTTTCCATCGGCAGCAGAGACCCCCTGGCTCCCAGCTTCTGTGCTAACACCCCCTCGCACCAGCCGGGCCCTGGGGCCCCTGCCTCGCTCGGCCGCCGCTTGCTTGGAAAGGACTTCTCTTCTTCTAGGGGAGTTTGGGGGGAGAGGGGGAGACTGAGCAGCCACTTCTGTACCCGGGATTATGGTTCCCAGGCCCTTTTCACCCCCAGGAAATCTATCTGACCAGATGTCTTAGGTGTCTAAGGGCTTGCTGTCAACCTGAATTTTCCTGAAACTCTGGGCCAGTAGCCCTCACGACATCAGAACAACACAGCGGTGTCCTGGCACCAAAGTCAACCTCTTCATGTCCTGAAGCCGGAAGGGTTTCCGTGGAAGACCCTGGTGTTGGCTTAGGACCCCAGGCTGAGCTGGCCAGGAGGAGAGG